ACTGTGCATGCAGATTCCATGCTCACCCTTACCCAGTATCTCCTTCACTTTCCCATTCCCTCCTCAGCGGGTGGGAACTTCCAGCTTCAGCCCTTCTCCAGGTGCATGCTCCTTAACAGTGAAGAAAAGAGGTTGTCCTGCTAAAGATAACATATAGCGTATAACCTGCTACTGGCTACCTCACCTGTTGACTCTTAGCAATGTTTTGCAGGCTACATCTTGCACCAGATGAGGCTCTTCTTGTTCAGAAGTGGTAATGATGTGAATCTGGCTGTCATCCAGAGGCTACAGGACATGTAATCTGAGCAGGATTAATCCTGTGCAATTGTCCATTTGTAATGTTTTCCTGCACAGTATAGATATCTGAACTGCGCACTGTGGAGAAGGATTGTTGCATCCTAAGAGGGCTCAGGACTGAGCTGTGGAGTGGCTTTGATGGGTTATAAGTGATGTTAGTCAGATCACTGCAAACCCTACAAAAGAGATCAAGCACCTCTTTCAGAAATGAATGACTTCTTTATTATTTTTTTTTCATGCATTACGGAGAGCAGAGGCACATTTGTGGTTAGTGGGGACTTACATTGTCTTATGTAATGTATTGTGACCAGTGTCTTATCTTTGTATGGGTCAGAGGAAATGCTGTAACCTTCTGAATCCATGTTTAAATAGTACAGAGTTACAGGTGTTTGTGAATTGATTTTGAAAGTCTGAATTTCAGTGAGAGTACACACATCCTACCAGAAGAACAGTTTGAGTTCTGTACTTCTCCTTCTTGGAAAATCAATTCAGATGTTCTTTGCATACACAGTTGTAGGTGCTCATCTTCCAAGCTGTGATCGAAATACATGAACCCATTACTTGAACTGCAGTTCCGTGGTTTGTTTCAGCAGGCCCAGGATAAAATATGACTGCTGGTTACAGCATCATCTGCAGAATCAGATCCTGGAAGAGATTTCTGGAACGGAAAGTGCAGAAACCCTGCTCTTTGCAGAAACTCTGGAATGGAATAGGATGAGAAAACAGGGACAGAGAAAAGTATAAGAGCACTCCCTGAAAAATAAGAAGTAAGACTAAAATACAATATATGGCCTAAAAATGAGCCAGAAGAAAAAGATCAGAACTGAAGTCAGAATTGTGCACTCTCCTCTCAAGCTATGTAGCCATGCCACTGAAGTCCTAATACGCCACTTCTGCCTATAGGCTTGCTGTTGCCTAATCTTTTTTTGCAATTCCTTATCTCTGCTAAGGCCCTTGTTCTGCAGATATTTAGATGTGTGAGTTCAGTGGCATTTATGGAGTATTTCTCAAGAAAATTGTGTTTGGAGATAGCACCTCTGTCACAGTTCCTGTAAACAAAAAAAGATGGTTAAAGTTAATACAGGTTTTACAGAAATAAAACAATTTTGATTCCAGTTAAAGGCAAAGGTGTGGCTCAGGTTCCTTTTTCCAAAGTCCTTGTAGCATTCTTTTGAGCCATAAATGTTGATTCTTTACAGGGTAGCTGTGAACAAGGAGGACAGATATAGGGCCTGATGAATATCAACTCTCATGGTATGCTAGTGCCCTGGATATGCACCCATCCCTCACTGCATCAAACGTTGGTGTGTGATGGGCACTGCCCAGTCTGAAAGCAGGGCAGGGGGAGAGTGCAGTGTCAGCTTCAGTGACAGCAAAGAATGTTACGCATTTAGATACACTGGCTAAAGACAGTCCTGTGAACAGCAAAAAAAATGGAGCTGTGCCTTCTGTTGTGATAAAGGATTATGAGAATAAGTTTTGAGATTTCTGAAAAAATCATCAATTTTTTGGTATATTTGCAGTTCTGTTTTCAGTTGACGTGAATATATTACCTGTCAGCTTTCAAATGGAATGTATATATTTCAAATATATATATTGCAATCAAATATTCAACTCAAAGAATAATGTGACCATGTCTCTCTACCAGACTTACATATCACTCTCTTACCAGAGATAAATAACTCTCACTTCACAGCCACACCTCATTTATGTCACTGCTTTTTGGCAGTAGATTCATTTGTGAACACCTATTTTCAAGTATGAAGCACAGGAAAAGTAAAATTTCATCAAAAATCTCTGACAAACACCTTGAGAGCTGACTGTGAATTGGAGCCGCTACCAATCAAATCAGAGTGATGTGTTAGTTTCATAAAAACAAAGACTCATATCCCACTAGTTTTAGGTATTTGTTTCTCTCCTTTTTAGTTTGAACAAAAAATATTAAAAGAGAAAATAAGTTTTGTTACTTATATACAGGAGCTATATTATATATATAAAATGAGGGCTGCTCCAAAAGTAATGACTCCTACTTTATGATGCTGGCCCATGACATCAGAGGTGGATACGGATGGTATGACAGTAAAGGCTGAATGTTCCCACCAATATCCAGTTAGCTCTTGTTCCCATGTGACAGATGGCAGCAGAGGGGCAGTCTGACAAAGTGGCACCTAATGTGGAAGTGCATATGCAGCAAAGGTGTGTCATTGGATTCCTTCATACAGAAAAATGGTATTCATCGATGCTTGCTGAATGTTTGTAGAGACCAAAGTGGATGAGAGCAAAGTGAGGCAATGGGTGGTGTGTTTCAGCAGTGGTGACAGTGGGTCGCCTCCAGTGGTACAGGTTTGAGGAGTATGACATACTGGCATTTCTTCATTGCTGGTGAAAATGCATAGCTAATGATAGTGGCTCTGATGAAAGATAGTGTTTTGTAGTAGAGAATTTGCTCTATCGAATAGTGTTATTGTGCCCTTTATATTGGTTGTAGTTTCTGTGGAAATAAATAGGAGGCATTACTTTTGGTGCAACCCCTTTATATGCAGCCTGAGACAATTCCACTTCACTCACTGCAGCCCAAGCAAGCCAAAAGGTTACACTGCTATGAGTTAAGGTATTCCAAATCCAGGCGATGTGGGGACCTTCTGGTGCTGGAAGATTTTTCCAGTTATGTACATATGATGAGTTCCTCATCTTCCAGAGCAGCAGATTCCCTGCCAAATCCATGCAATCCCCTTTAAAGCTGACTCTGGGGTTTTCTGAACACCATGCCTGGTCTTCAAGGAGAATGGCCACTGATCCTTAATTAAGTGTCTCTTTTCTATTTGTTTATGTATTTATTCAGACTGCGCATTCATTCGCATTGTATTCATTGAGCTTTGATCACATCCTGAATCACTGTCTGTCTGCACGCAAGCGTTTATCTAAAGGTATGGGTTTAAACTAATTAACTCAGACTGGTACAAGCCCCAGTGTAGGCACTGATATTGGCTCAATACCTTACTCAGAGCACTCTGAAGTTGGCTGAGATCTTGTAGGGATCCTCTTCTTTGGGAGTAAAGTGTTTGCACAGCAGCAGGACTGAGCTTTGCTGGGTTGTACAGTGGCTGACCTCAACTGATAGGGTGCTGAGGTGCTGTGGTCTGCGTCTGCTGGAGATGTTCAGATGGAGGATCTTGGCAGTGCAGGGTGACTTTATTATTACAAAACTCTCAGCAAGATAATGCCGTTTCTAATCAAGGTGAGCAGAAGCTGCCGATCTGCTCCCTGGGTGCTGTGTCCCTGCCCTGCTGTGGAGCAAACTCATTTGCTTTGCAAAGCGCTTACAGATGCCTGTAAATGGAAAAGGGGTGGAAACACGCCTGTTCTCCCTGGCTGCAAATGAAGCACATGTCCTCTTTCCCTGAGGTGATTTTCCCACCTGGGTGGATCCAGGCTGCCTCACGAGCCATTCAGTCCTGGCAGACCCGTGGCAGACAGGGCCAGCAGAGAAGCACCCTGATAAAAGCCGCCTCTCTTGCGCTTATCACCAAACGAACTCCCAGTTGGCTTTGTTTGACTTCGCCGGTTTATTGGATTTGTTGCTTCCCTTCTTCATTTTCATATTAAAGGCTGGCGCGGGGCTGTGATCCCGCTCAGCACAGCACTGGTGTGCAGGGCTCTAATTGCTCAGCTGCCTGAGGTCATCGCCGGGAGCTGCGCCGTGTGTGGCGACGGCACCTCGTATTTTCTCCCCAGCCAGATTGAAAAAAAAAGATTCAATTGGCTCTGGGTCTGTCAATAGTGACTAATCAGGTGCTGTACAATTAATTATGGAGGGGTGTCATTTTAAAACAATTCCAAGGTGGGAAAGAACAGGCCCAGGCCCTTTACCTGTTGGCACTGTTTGTGTTGCTAAGCCAATCCAGCCTGCGTCCTCCATTTCATTTACCTTTTAAACTATTGCCCCCGCATAAGTAAACACTTTCTATAAAGTGTGTGTGCACGCATGTGTGTAAGTGGGTGGAGAGTGATCTGGGAAGCTCTCTACCCTAGAAAAGATACTGATGATGAAGGGAAAAAAAGAAGAAGAAAAAGCATAATTTGGCAATAATTCCAGAGAAGAGCAGATTACAACAGGTGGATGAAACAATGATAGCATAGCTGAGGCTGAATCCCCGTAACCCAAATTAGTATGAGACAGGGTGATAAGAGATGTCCTCACTGTGCAGATGTGGGGCTGCCCAGGTGCCTCATGCTGGGCTTTCCTGGCTGCTCTAATACAGGAAATTGGAAGCACCCTGTCAGATTGCCCAGCTTGATGATCTAGGAGCTCTTAAACACCCTCCAGCCAAAAGCTGTACCTGCAGTGCTGTTCTGCTCCATAGGAAAAAATGTGGATTCCTGTGTGTCAGTGTGTGACTGCTGACATCGCTTTTCACTATATTAAATGAAGAGTTAGATATTCTGTATAGACAAGTTACGTGCTAGACAAGGTATTTTAGGAGCAGAAGTCTAAGGCACATCATAGTGGGTTTTTTTTATTTTTGTTTTTTGAACTTTTCAAAATTAAGAATGTTGGCCCTTCCCTTCCCTTCCCTTCCCTTCCCTTCCCTTCCCTTCCCTTCCCAAAATCAGCTTTTCACTTCGTTGGATAACATATTCAAATGAAAAGATTAATTAAACATCAGTACATTTGTATCCTTTATTTAATCAGAAGACTTCTACAGTGTTACTCAAAGCCACTTTCACAGCTTTGCATCTAAGTGCCATTGCTGAGAGTTCTCTCCCTCCCCCAATCCTCAGCCAAAAAAATACATCATGTTGGCTTTGTTAATGGTGAAACATTTAGTACACTTAAACTCAGTTTCTTTCAGTGTTTTGATGACTGCTGCCCTGCTTTGTTGCCATGATGAAGTACTGGGGCTGGAGCTCCTTGTCAGAGGACTTTGCAATATGAAGTGAGCAGGTGCAGCCCACAGGGGCTGTGTAACCAATGTGCTGCCATCTGGTCTAGGGCAGAAACCTGCTGAATCCAGTATCCTGGTTTCAAAGCAAGAAGTTGCAGCAAGTTTTATATTGAGCATGTGAGAATTAGGAGGGCTGTTCCCAAAGTAATGCCTCCTGTTTTATTATGTTGGCACATGACATCAGAGGCGGATGTTGGTGGTACGGTGGTAGAGGTTGAACCTTCCCATCAATGTCCTGTTACCTGTTGTTGCTGTGTGACAGATGGCAGCAGAGGGACAGTCTGAGAGAACGGCTTCTGACATTATATGAAACAATGGAGTGTGACTGAATTCCTTCATGTGGAAAAATGGTACCCAGTGACATTCATCATAGAAACACAGAATCATAAGTTGGAAAAGACTTAAGATGATCTTGATCTGAACGTAGGGGAGGTTCAAGCTGGATATCAGGAAAAAAATTCTTCTCCAAAAATGTGGTGAGGCGTTGCAACAGGCTGCCCAGGGAGGTGGTAGAGTCACTGTTCCTGGAGATGTTCAGGAAAAGGGTAGTTGTGGCACTGAGGGACGTGGTTAGCGGGCATGATTGGGATGAGCTGATGGTTGGACTAGATAGATGATCCTGGAGGTCTTTTCCAGTGTTAATGATTCTGTGTTTCTATGATTCTATGTTTCTATGATTGTGTTTCCCTATTCTGGCAGGGAGAGCAGTGGCACAGTGTGATGGGTAACACGGGGTTTTATGGCCAAGTGAAATAATGGATGTTGGAGTGGAGGTTACAATGTAAACATGCACTCAGATACCAGAGTAATGAACATAGCATAAATATTTAGATGTGTTCCTACATCTAATTCTTGGCCTCATAATTCTCATGTCAAATAGTTTATAAAAGGCAAAACTATATTTCAGTTACAGGCGCGGCTTCATAATTCTTAAGGTTAATTAAGGCAGCCAAATGTGCTTCATGCCTGTCTGCCGTGGCTGTGTAACTGTACTAAGTTGTGTATCATTAAAGGCTTTTCCTATCAGTGACTGTAACAACAGTGATTGTCAGCACATGTGTATCTGAGTGTTTAGCCTAGGTGACAAGCAGCAGCAGTGTGCACTGTCCTTATGTCTCATATAAACATACTGTCACTTGTGTGTACACAACAAGTAAAGGAAGAGTTAATGGTGGCTTGAGATCCTGTTACATGATGTGAACACATCTGAAATGCAGGTAGCACAGAAACAGTGTGCGCCCCAATGCCAGCTTGTGCCCACTCCTTCCTCCTTCAGCTGTCCCTTGCTGTGTTCTTTGAGGACAGTGAATATCTCTCAAGTTGGGGCTGGCAGGGGTCAGGAATGTCTCTGGTAGGGCTGCATGGACAGGCCAGCATCACACCACAGGCCATCTCCTGGGACCTGATGCTGGGCTGCTCCTGATGTCTCAGTGCCTCCTATTTGAGATTAGATGAGTGCCAGGCAAGGAATCCCCCACTGCCAGGGGAATCCCAGCCTGGCACTTCACAGTGTTTTCAAGGATGGCAAGGAGCCTTATCCAGCCTCTACATCTGCCCTAGATGCTTTGCATTCCAGTGATGTGCCACAGATGTGCTGAACCTACAGTACAAACACTACCATCTCACCATCTCTATGGCCAGCAGTTGTTGGTAGGCTCCATCCCAGGCACAGTGGACAGGAACATCTTCACTGCCAAAGATGTCCCATGGAGTCGGTAGCAGGTGACACAGGCTGCCCCTCGCCTATGTCAGCTGGACTGCTTGTTGGGTGCCTCCTGTGCAGAGAACAGCAAAGCTCAGGCAAATAGAAGAGACAGGAGGAGTGTTTTCCAGCCTGGCAGCACTGAGAGTGCATTGAGAGTCCATCGTTGGGTTTTTCAGCTCGAGTTGCTCTGCAGTGGGGCGTGCCCTGGGGAAAACCCTTCTCCCAGAAGACTCAATAATTCAACATATCATCTTCCCAAGTGCTGGTGTCTGTCAGCCCAGTGTTTCACCGTTTCATCGCTACATCAACACAACTCATGCCCCATCTCTCTATCTTCCATTTCTCAGTGCTGTGCCCTTTTGGGGCTTCTTTCTCTTTAAGAGGAAACGCAGCGGAAGCTGAGCTATTCAATATTGTTTCATATTATTTGGTTGTGAAACAATTTAATTTGTTTATGGCTTTAAAGGTCAGATTTGACTTTTGCCCAAATTTCTGAAGAATAAAGAATGGATCAGGCTGAAAGGGACTTTGTGGCATGATAAAATGAAGAAAGAGAAGGGGGCTAGTGAGAATATTTAACTGGAACAGCAAGGCAAACTTACCTTCAGCTCAGGTTTAAAAGCCTAGTCAATCATTAGACATTTTTTATTATTTACCTGGTACAAAATCCCCCCAGGAGAAGAAGTACAAAAACTCATAGGCCACATTCTTGCAAATTTTAGTAACTTGCTCAATAATTTTTTTTCTTTTTTTTTTTCTTCTTTTTTTTTTTTTTTTCCTGTGATTCAAAACATTTTGAGGGGTACAGATCACATAGGTGTATTTATAGATCAGAAACAAGGAGGAAGCGCAAGGTGGTTGCGGATCCAAGCAGAGGATGTTTGTAACAGTGATGAGAGCAGGGCCAGCCGGGGACTTTGAGAAGGAAGGTGATTCTCACACAGTGAGCAGAAGACAAAGGTTGCATTTACACCTGGCCAGAGGTTTAATCATCTACCATTTCCAAACATTGCAGGCTCACAATCTGTTGTGTCTGAGATCATAAAACATATCACAAACTGGAGACAAGAGAGCTGGGGCTCAATTGACCAGAGCTTATCTTTTCTTTTTCCTACTTCTTATTTTTCACTCAATTTTCTGCTTAAAAAAAAAAACACAAAACAAACAAACAACTTGTGATCCCTAAATTCTTACCTGATATAGCAGAAAACATGGTGCAAAGTAATTCTAAAGACTAGGGTGGATTTCTAGACTAGGGTGGATTTCTATTCCTCTCTGCCTCACCACTCCAGGTGCTGGGGATTCCACCTGGCTGCCCAAAGCTCCCTCCCAGGCTTTCAGGGAGGAGAGAAATTGAGGAAAAGTGACTATAAAGTGGAGAGAAATATTCAAAGAGGAGTGGGTAGAAGTCTCTCAGAGATTAGCTTTCCAGGTCCTAACATAAAAACATCTAACACTGAACCATCTGAACCTGAATCTGTAGGCAGCTTTTGTCTTTTTTTTTGTGTATGGATTTTTGAATTATGGCAACGTTTTAAGGAGAATTTGGATGTGATGGGAGGGTTTGTTGGGTTTTTTTTTGGAACATTTGCATTTTTGCATTTCGCATATGCAGTCGGTTTCTTCTGAAGGGAGGCTGGCAGGTCTGTTGGGCAAGACCAGTGACTCCCATGGCAAAGAGAGGCCGTTGCTTCTTCCTTCTCCTGATGGCCTCTGCAGGGTCATTGCCCTTAGCTGAGCAACCACAGCCAGACTGTGGGCAGGAGCGGAGACTTAAAGCAAATGGGATTTCCCACTGACAGTTGCAATGGGCGGTAGGAGTGTGGAATGACCAGGGCATGGCCACAGCTGTCATCCCTCCTGAGGGCTGGGCCAGGAGGGACCTTGAAGAGGGGATGTTCCTTTGCACCTCGTTTGGGTGCTTCAGTGCTGATTCATCAAAGCACTTAGCGCCAGGAGGAAGAACCCGCCCTGTTGGGATGAAGGTTTGCACTGCTAACTTCAAAAGGGGCCCGATTTAACCCTTTAACTTTAGTGGGGTTTGGGCCCCTGTTTGGAGGTAAGGAGGTGATACTGCTGGGTTGGAAGGGAACACAAATACCTTGAGGGTCCTGAGTGTCATCATCATGGTGCCTTTGCGAGTGTTCTGCCTGCCAGCTCTGTAACCACTCTAAAAAACGGGAGCTTCCCCACGGCAAGCTCATCAATCAAAGCAGGATGGAGAGCCATCTGCCCCTGGCATGGCCAGGTGCCCTCAGGGTGTCCCTTGCCTTCCTGAGGTTGCCCTCGACCTGATAACGAGAGTGGCATCTTTGATGTCACCTGAGGGAGCAGTCACACACAATTGCATAATCAAGGTCACAGGAAAATTACACAAAACTTTGTCCACATCTATTGGAAAAATCTGAAGCATTTGCAAAAAAAAAAAAAAAAAGAAAAAGAAAAAAGAAAAAGAAAACAAAACAAAACAAAAAAAACCCCTAACCACAAACTCTTATCCATGCCACCACAACAACATGCTGAATGGAACGCTGCAGTGGTGAGTTTTCCCTTTACTATATCCCAGAATTTTTTATGAAAATAAGTAATACGGGTATAAAGGCAATTAAAAGTTCTCTCTGACAGCCACATTAATTCAGCTCTGTGGTTTTCCCTCTCTCCTCTTCAGATAGTGTTTCAATTACACGATGATAATGTGTGAATATAAGACGCAATCATCTCATACTTCGCATTGCTGAGTGTTGTCTGTCTGAGGATTTTAAGGGGTGAATTGGGTTTCACATGCCCTCAGGAACTACTGAGTATCTGCGAGGCTGCTTGCAAAAAAAAGAAATAGCTACTTTGAGAATTTGTACACGAAAATAAAGAGAAGAATTTTCGGAATTTGTCTCGGAGAAATTTCTGCTCTTCCCTGTGTTAATAAAATTTACATTGAAAAGCTTCCCCCTTTCTTGCCCTTTAGTCTTATCATATTTCTACGCCTTCTTTTTTTTTTTTTTTTAATTTTATCCTCATTTGTCTGTGAGAAAGAATAAGTTGTGGAGGTAGCTTACAGTCAAAAAATCTGTAGCATGAAAGAGGTCAGAACTAGAAAGCGAAGCAAGAAAAGCAAAAACTGAAAACATTTTACAAAATAAATAAGAAAATCTTTAAAAAGCTTATGACGCCTGAAAGGCCTCATAGGTGGTGAAGAGGCCACAGGTCCTGCCCTGTTTGCCCCAGCTGGGCTGGTGAGAGCCCAGTTTCCCAGCTGCCTCCAAATGTTCTTGTCTCCTGGTGATTCAGTGGCACATCATGGCATCAGATCCAGGATGAGGCTGTCTGCAGCACCCGTCTTTCCTCTGTCTGTCACTTAACTGGAGATGATGACTGATGTGCCAGAGATTTTACATCACCAAAATCTGTGTGGTGCAAAGGTCCAGGAGGAGTTGCACAATGCACAGTGATGCCTCTTCAAGACTCTCAAGCTTTTAAGTCTTAAGGCTGAAACATGCATTTCTGATGTGACTCTCTCACAGCATAGTCCTGTCCCTTTATCCTGAGTGGGTTCCTTCTAAATTCTGACCTGCTGAAACTCTCCTCAAAGCTTCTCCCACCTTTGCTGACTGTTGGTATTTCTGATCATGAGAATATTAGGGCAGAATCTTTTAACTTCTTCCACAGACCCAAGTAAATCAAGAGCTCAAAATATCATCTGCTATTCCACTGCTTTATAAAAGTTCTCAAGTTAAGACCTGAAGAAATGATCTTTTTTCCTGATTGCAGAAAGAGCTCAGTCTTTTCGATTTTCATATCATACCAGGAAGAGTGGCTTAATCTGTCTTCCTAACTTTAAGAGTTCAGGGAGCTCTCTTTCCCCCACTTTGGGGACAGCTTGTGAGGAAGCTGTCAATAAACATCCACATTGCTTTCCTATGCTCTGTCATCTGAAAGACTGTCCCCCTTAAATAACATCCATAAATCAGGTGGCTTAGTTAGTTTAAGTGTGGACACAGTTCATCCTTACTAAGTTTGCATTTTGCTTTAGAATACAACAGAAACAACAGAAGTTGGTCCAAGTGAGCCACCCAGAGCAGGGTGCCAGGCTTATGAAGTTCTCCAAGGAGGCCAGAGCAGGGTGCCAGGCTTATGAAGTTCTCCAAGGAGGAGATCCCACAGCCTTTGGGCAGCCTGTACCAGTGCTCTGTCACCGGCACAGCACAGAAATACTGCCTGGTGTTCAGTGAGAAACTCCTATGTTCCAAGCTGTGCCCATTGCTGCTGGGCACACTGGGCACTACTGGAAGGTGCATGGCCCTATCCTTTTTGTTCCTTCCCTTCAGGTATTTATAGGCAGTGATGAGAGATTGCTCGGAGCCTTCTCCTGGCTGAACAGCTCCACCTTTCTCAGCCTCTCCTCACAGTAAACGTTCTCCAGCCCCATTGCCATTTTCATGGCCCTCCACTGGACTCTCTTCAGTATGCCCACATCTCTTGTATTGGGGAACCCACAACCGCACCCAGCACTCCCGGTGTGGCCCCACCAGTGTCGAGGAGATGGGAATCAACAAGAATCTGGTGAAATCCACTCCTGACTCATGGGAATGGCTGGATGGCTGCGGGGCCATTGAAAGGATACAGGGTTGGAAAGCCAATAAATCCAGCAAGGCCGCTTGGCTGCTTTATGCAGAGATGTAACGGCACCGTCTGGAGTATTCTGCTCCTTTACATACCTCGAGAGGCTGCCGTCACCCACAGAACATTTCTTGTATCAGCAGAACTGCTCATCGGCTATAATTTTTGTTGAAATATCTCGCTTTAAACTTAGAGAGAACGAATGGAGGCCTCAAATCTGTAAATCAGCTGCACTTTGGAAAACAAATCATCGCAGTGGAGTTTTGCCAAGCTAATATTCTGTTATCATTCATTATTTGGTTTTCACTTTCTGAGCTGATTTAAAAACACCATGCTCCAACTGTACCAGTTGCTTCCAAGATATGAGCCTGATTTACACTTTGAAGATGTGAGCGGCCTCGTAGCTGTGTTTCTAGGATGAAGATGTGCTACAGTGAGGAGTTTTGGGGCAGCAAACTCAGGACATGTGGACAAGATCTTGCATGTTACATCTGCTTACCTGCTTGGCCTAGCGAGGTATTATCACTGACACAAGCAGTGACTTTTCCACGTGCTACAGCAATAATGTTGACTTCCAGAGAAAAGATGGTAAGACATTTCCCAGTGTGATTTCCTAATGGGACTCTGTGAGAAAATACAGTGGAATAAGCATCTATGAGAGGAAAGCAACACCTGGAAAAAGGATAACAGATGAGGAGTAATGGGGATGTGACATTCATATCTATGGTCCAGAAAATGGATAAGGTGAAGAGGAAGCACCATGGGGAGGACGGGAAAAAACCAATGGAAATTAAATGGTTATTTAAGAAGTCAAGCAAAACACAGCTCAGTGAAACCAAGCCACTGTCCAGGTGTGGTTTAATCAGCACTGAGGACAGCAAGGACACTTAGCTTTCTTTCTTGAGTTTGGGGATTTCTTTGATTCTGATGCTTGCTATAGTATTGTGGGACAGATCTGCTTAAAAATAAATAAATAAATAAATAAATAAATGTGTAGTGATTCAAACACTTATCCCGAATCATAAATAAATGTTATTAACCTTGGTTATGTTCTTAGCAGAAATCAACCTACTAAGAAAATTTTCAGCCTTCTAAACACTTCTTATTTTTCTCTGACCAGAAACACAGGGAAATCAGATTTTTTCAGTCACCATAGAAGGCCAGATCTTCACCTAGTTTAACTTTGTTCTGGTCACAAATAACAAAATATGGAAGTTGAATTGCTGTTCCATCCTATTTTTTGCAGTTCCTGTAAGTCTGTGCAATTAGACAGGCTTTGAGACGAGCTCCAGATTCTCCTTCCTTGCTCGTGTGAAATCCTTTCAAGGCTTCCTGAAGGTTATTACAATAATGCTATTGCATGTTAACAAATACCTACCACTTCCAAGAACACAGCTATTTACACGTCACAGGCTTTTTAAAAAACAAAGGGTCTTTCTTCAAAGGAAAATGGGCTTCCTTGTTATTATTGCTGCATCCTTGTTTCCCCGTCTTGGTGTACAGGCTGGCATACAGGATTTCTGTCTTGCATACGGAAGCATAAGATTTAGATCTGGACTATGTGTATGGCTCAAAAAGAATTGGGGTTATAAAATTCTCACATTTCACATTTGTGGTGGCATAGGATTAAGGAGATATAAATGAACAGGTTCACATAAGAACAATTGTTATACCTTCTTTCACTTATACCCTCTTTAAATTGTGTTGCCAGAAGCAGATTGAAGAAGTTTTTGTGTAGATTTGCATCAGCTCTCCCGTGTTAAGATTGCACTGGCCTTCACAAGGTGCTTGGAGGAGCAGCTGCTAGAGTTGATAGGACCCTGTGTATGCCAGTGTATGTGGAGTTTCAGGTATACCTCTCCAACAGTAAATGGAAGGATACAACTCTTTGAAAGATAATGGCAGGACAAGGGGAAATGGTTTTAAGTTGAGGGAGGGGAGATTTAGGTTGGATGTCAGGGGGAAATTCTTTACAGAGAGAGTGGTGAGGTGCTGGAACAGGCTGCCCAGAGAGGTTGTGGATGCCCCGTCCTTGGAGGTGCTCAAGGTCAGATTGGATGGGGCCCTGGGCAGCCTGGTCTAGTATTAGATGTGGAGGTTGGTGGCCCTGCATGTGGCAGGGGGGTTGGAGATTCATGATCCTTGAGGTCCCTTCCAACCCTGGCCATTCTGTGATTCTATGATTCCATGATTCCATGATTCCATGATTCCATGATATGATAGAGCCTTTTGTCTTTAGTATAGCAGATAAAACCAAAGCTCTTGTGCTCCTGTGGTTCCACCTTTCAAGTTTCAATCTAAGAAATAAGACTGTAACCACCAGTGAGTCTATTCTTGAATCGCAGATGATCTGTTTTTTTGCTAGCAGCAGGTCATTGCAGATATCCAGTATTTGTGTATACTAACACTGAAAAACACCAGCTTGCAGGAAACCACTGAATTGTGCGTAGCAATTTTCCTCTCATTTTTATGCTCAGTGAGAAATCAGTCTCTTATGTGAGTGGAGCAGATACCTGCAATTTGTGATGCACTCAGCGTAACAGTAATGTTAACCACCCCATCTGGTAATCTGAGTGATAAGAACATTGGCTCAGATCTGATGTTCCTGCTGGTACCACGTACCAAGTTCATGTCATTGTTATTAGCAGCATGTGCCCACCATTCTCTTTCTACAGAGCTGGTTGCAGTTGGGGATATATCCTTTTAGAGCTTCATCCCTTGAGACATCTTCATATGCATCTCAGCCTCTCCATCCTCATTGGAACTGCATCTTCCTAGCATCTTCAGTTTTACCACTTCCAAGAAATGATCCTGATGAGACATTCAGGATGCGATGCCAAGGGCATTATGAGTTCCCCAATAGGACGGCTGCCTGCATTTTACGAGAAGGAGCAGCATTGTGCAAGGGCAGATGGCCGAACCTGCAGAACTAGTTTCAGCCATAAATGCTCGGAGCACCATGAATGTTCCGTGGCTTTTTTTTTTTTTTTTTTTAAGGCTGAAATATATTTGGGAAGTACTTGTTCAAACTACTGAGCAGTCAAATATTAACAAGTGGAAACTGAGGGGAAAAAAAAGAAAAAAAAAGATACTTTGAAGGGCTGAAGCTTGTGTGGGTTCTTGCTGTATTTGCCAAACTACAATCACTGGGGCCACACTTGCGACAGGCTAAAACGTTGCTGTGAATAGAAAGTACATCATAAGGGTTCTCAAATACGAAAGTGGGGCTGGAACAAAGGGCAGGCACCAGACAGACTTCCCCTGTTGCGATTACCAGTGTGTCACCCTGGTGCCAGCAGTCTGGTGGCGGCAGCGGGCGGCCGCTTTGCACCAAATGCCACCGGGCAGCTTTGAAACCCTGTGCAGCCCCGCTCTGTGTGCCGCCTCAGTGCAGCAGAGCGAGCTTTATCTCTCTTGTTCTGAGAGTGTTTGCTTTAAAGATGATTTACCACACTTGACAATTACCGAATTTCCTAAATTGAACCTGAGGCTTGGTTGCTATTCTGTAAGGTGCTGTGTGCAGAGCAGTGTGCAGGAGGTATGTTAGTCAATGGGTAGCATCTCCGAGAAACACCTACACATTAGCAATGGACATGAGCCATTTGGGTGCTGATGAGATTTCTTCACTAATAGAGCCGCTGGCACCAGTGCTGCGAGAATGCTCTTCCTTCACTTGAATGAGAGGCAATACAAAGAGGTATTGTTTCGTGTATAGTTTGTTGGGAAAATTACCAAACATTTATATTAGAACGTTTGACAACGGTGTCAACAACATTTCCCTGGATTGCTGCTTAATATATCTTAATTATTTGTTTTCCTTGTGGTGGTTCTTTTAATCTGTTCTTATTAAAGTCTTCCACGTTCCACTAATATTGTCACTGTGTTTCTTTTGAAGGAAACAAGTGTGTGTACTGATAGATTAGATTATCCTGCCCTTTTTTTTTTTTAAAGGGAGAAATGTCTTCAAAATGAAGTACATCAAAAGTAAAAGTAGGTGACAAATGTTAATATTTGCAAAGTGCTTCTGCTTTGATCCCGCATTTCTATTTTTTTAAGAGTTTGACAAATGTGTCCTGTGGTTTGGCTTCAAACCTCTTTGCCTAGTGCTTTACTTGACCCACAACCCATTTGATCTTCCACTTGTTTTTTCTTCTGTCCAGGAGGCCTCTGGACTTGATAAAGGATAGTTCTTATCTCCCACTTGCTGCTGTTCAGAGGCATCATTTTTTATTTTTGGTTGGATTAGGTTATTGTGTCTGTTTGCTTAGGCGATTTCTAAAGAGACATTTATATTGCTGTTATTCTTTGTGATGGTTGCCTTCCCGTTTTCAAGCCAGCTAGATCTGATCTGATCAGGACCTGGATGCACCCATTGATTCTGGCACAGGATGTGAGGCAGCAGGACTGATGGCTGGCTACCACTGGGTTCCATCACATAATTATCATGCATGCTGTCCTCAGTACCAAAGTAGAGAGGCTTTCTATTAGTTAATAACCAGACCCCATTAGGAGCTCTGGATTGAGGTCTGATCCTCAGACCTCAGATCCTCTACAGGGATCCTACTGATCTTACTGCTGCCCCAAAACTCATTCGGCCACTTCTGATCCTGTCCCTGGTATTGTCCTTCATGCACCTGAACTCTTGCATCCTGATAGCTTTAAAGAAATCAAGCACAGCCTGAAGTGGATGAGTGCTCACCTGTGTGCCAGTGTGGGAAGATTACCTACAAGTAGAGATGCTCCTACAGTACTTCAGGTGGTGACAGTGGGGTTACTACCACCACAATTCAGGACAGCTCTTCTGCCAGGCTCTTGCATGCTGCATGTTCTTTTCAGGTTTCTGCATTCCTTGCAGATAGTGGGGCTTCAGTGCACTGCACTCCAGTTCTGTCTCTAGGAGAAGACGTTGCCACAGGTGAGATTAATTCTACCAATGTAGTGACAGATATGTGTGCTTTGAATAAGGGTGGACGTGAGGAGAAGGGGAGCTTGCTTTTAGGAGCAATAGTTACAATACCTTTCCTAACTGGGGTCATATGGCAGGGTGTTAGAACAGTAAAAATATCTTTGCTGCTATGTTTCTTGTCTTAATGGGAGTGTGATAGCTGTCAGCTCTCCATCTCATTCCTCCTCCTGCAGAACACATGCAGGGAAGGCATGCAGCAAGACATAGAGATTTTCATGGGTACGGTTGGGTGTCAGTAAAAAAAATAAAAAGAAAAGAACATGAAAAATCCTGAGAATGAGGAAAACAGTGATGATGGCACTCAGAGATTCAGGGAGAGCCTAGCTAGGTAAACACTTCATCACTGCACTGGCCTCTTCTGTGTTTGTCTATTACTTTCCATTCTCTCATTTTTAGTGCAGAACTATTTCCTTTTGCTCTTACAAGTATAGGAATCCTTCTGCAGGCAGCATTGTATTTTCTAACACTTTACATTCAATCAGGCACTCTACTTTTCATAGGTAGAATGCTTTTCTTCTGGTGAGAACAATTTTATTTTATTTAAAAAAAGCACCAGGGTATTGCACTTTTTTTCTTATTATTTTGTTTTAAGGAATATCTCTAGCCAGATCAACTTTTGCTTTCCAGTGCTGTTTTCACAGGCATTTCCTGAAGATGGACTATCAGATAAAATGCTGACTTTAGCCTTTTCTTTATCCTCTGTGTTGGGTATTATTTTATTCCTCTTGTTTGTTTTTGCAGTTTCTTTTTCTGGGTTTTACTGAGAGCACTCTGCCAGAGAACCAGGAGGTTCAGCACCAGCAGCATGTCAGCTCAGAAGCTGTGTCTCTGCTGGAGCCATCCCTCAGCTTGCTTTATGATTTATGACCAAACTAAGATAAACAATTAATCACAATTAAGGAATGAATCAGATAAAGAAATTTCTCTGCTTGGGGAGTTCTCCTGGTGTCCAGTATCTGCTGTCATGTCCCTTATTCCACCTCTCAGCTTGCAGGAGTCCAAGTGGAAAAGTGGAAATAACCGATGCTTGGTGCTGTGCTGGTTTCAGAGAGTCATAGAATGGTTTGGGTTGGAAGGGACCTTAAATCCCACCCAGTCCCACCCCGTGCCGTGGGCAGGGCTGCCACCCAGCAGCTCAGCTGCCCAGGGCTCCATCCAACCTGGCCTTGAGCACCTCCAGGGATGGGGCACCACAGCTTACATGGGCGGCTGTGCCAGCATCTCACCACTCTCTGAGTAAAGAATTTCTTCCTCACATCTCTTTTGGATTTCCTCTCTTTTAGTTTAAATCCATTCCCACTTTTCCTATCACTAATAGACTGAAAAAGTTGTTTCCCCTCTTGCTTGTAAGCTCCTTTCAAGTAATGTAAGTCTGCAACAAGGTCTCCCGAGAGACTTCTCCAAGCTAGTTTCAGAGTGCCAGAAATGTCACTGAACTAGCTCTGAACATGTCCTGTTAGTCCTGAAATACTCAGCAGCTTTTGAGTCTGGGAGACTGCTGCATTTCCTCAATGGTTGTCAGCAATGGGATGCAAGAAGGTGTGGTTTCTCGTTAAGCACAGTCTTTCCTAGTGGGAAAAAACCCAAAAACCAAAAAGCATGCAAAATGGAGAACACTAACATTAATTGTTTTATTTTAAGAAGTTTCTCCTCTCCTCTGTAGACTTCCTGCTCTTGTGCTCTCTCTCTTACATGTGAACGCAAATTTCCCAGCATTTCTTGGGGTGACTCAGAGAGGAGCAGGTGTAATGCTCATGTCCTGGGCATTGGTGGGCTCAGCAGTAAGTCCCTGATTTGCCTGAAGATGGAATATGTGTGAGGAAAGGGTATACATGGGATGGACTGGGGTGCCAAAAAGCAGCCTCTCCAAGGAGCTCTCCTCTTCCTCAGGTGAACCATCTGCTGCATTGTTTCCTTGAATTTCACACAAAAGGGGAAAGTGTCTTGTAAAAGACAAGAGATGTTAAACCACATCTAAAAGCTAATTGCCCAGGGTCAGCAACGGCTAGACAGATTGAAAGGCAGGAAGAAATTTAACTCTATTTTAGACTGGACGCTTACATTAGGATTAAACAAGTCACCCTACAGAGATACCCCATCCCTGAAGACACCCAAGGTCAGGATGGATGGGGCTCTGAGCACCTAACTGAGATGTAGGTATCCCTGTTCATTGCAGGGGAGTTGGACTAGATGGCCTTTAGAGATTCCTTCCAACTCAAACAGATCTATGATTCTATGATTCTATTTCCCCAAAAAAGAAACCTGGCTTACCTAGATGCATCACATTTACGAAGTTGAGAATCCAGCCTCCAAATACTTCACATTTCTCACACAGCTCATGGCTTTAACAGATTCTTTGTTCCTTAAACTGCTCTCGCTCTGCTGGAAAGGGAGTGCCGTGGGATTATGAATGTATGGCAGGTGCGGCTGTGCTGTGGGGAGCAGGAGAAAAGAGTGAAGAATGCAGAGAGATGGACCCAGTGCATCTCTAAGGAGTGGTCCTGAGCACTTGTGCATCTGTACATCTAATATGTGCCTCTGCTCCTCTGTTTGTCCTGGTTCAGCCCAAATATGATGGGAGGCTGCTCAGCAATGTCTCTCAAGCAGAGCCTGGCCCAGGAGGGGCAATGCCAGCCTTGGCTGTGGTGGGAGAATCGTGCTTGCCGGCTCACCTCCACATCATGAAACAAATGGAAAGTCTGCCTTTTGCTTTTACATTTGTGGAAGTATGACTGGCTTTTTTGTCTGGACTCTAGAAGAGCTGAGAGCCTCCAGGGAGGATGGAATAGCAGAAAGAAAAGTACGCACAGCAGCCTGTGGAATGGAAACTTTTGTTAAGTGGGGTAGTTCGGTGTTGTTATAACACCTGTCAAGAGTAGGAAATAATACCTTGACCCTTTCCTAGCACTGCTCAGGCAGGTGCTGATACAGTGATGGATGTTACTTACACAGGGAGAAGGGGGAGGCAGGAGGAGGGGCTCATTTTTTTTTTTTTCCCCTGCAGATATGCATACAGTAAAAGGTGCAGATTTTGCAGGTCTGGAAATGCTGGGAAAGGGCAGTGAAGGATAAGCATGTCAGAAAGCATGTAAGCAAGAGTCAAAGGAATATAACTTCAAAATAAGTGAGTAAGCAGAGTTAATCTACAAGCCCAACCTGAACCAGCCTCATATGGAAACTTGAAGTTTGAACGTGCACAGGTAGTTTATATGAACGATTTTCCATTTTAAGGAATGGTTTCATTTCTGGGTCTGGGCAGGACTGGCTTGCAAGGTGTAGCACTGTCAAATGATCAGACAAAATTTGTAGCCTGCCTTGAAACAGGAAATACTGAAAATCCCATGAGGATTGGTGGTGAGCTTTGGAGACACAAGAGATTTGGTCTTGATCCGGTGAGACAAGTAGTTGTGTCTGAGCCTCCATGTATGAGTAGCTCCTTTATTTTGTGGGACTGTGCAGAGAGATACCCCACATAATCCTTTCTTCATATGGTCTTATTAGGTATCCAGCCTTTTGTGAAATATCCAAAATGAAGGCTGACATCTTGTGAAGTTTGTTCTCATTCCAGGCTCAACATTTTGTTCTTTTGCATGATAAGAGGCCACTAACATGAACAATGCATGTAAAAATGACAATTCTGTTTTCATGTCAACCTTTCATGAGAAGCTTCTTGTTGTCTTCAAACAGTTGCTAACAAGAAGTGTTGTCTGAACTTTACATATTACTTGAGGCATCCACTTAACTATAATCAGTCACTGACCAAGGAAAATCTTAGAAAGGATGGGTAAAGACAATCTTCTGCTCGCCTCTTCTGCTATAACTTTGTCTTCCTGCTTAATGCTGAAGATAGCAGACTCTTTTTTCGTTTTCTCTCCAGCAGATGATCAATGAATGTTGCACCCATCATCACTGGGCTTCTCTGTGCCCCAGCCTTTTTTCTTGTTCCCTCACCTTCTTTTAGCTGCTTTCTGTAGCATGTGGAGCACAGCAGGTGAAATCACCTCATTTTCCCCCATCATTCTCATCTTTGTCCATGTCTCCTCAGAAGTGGACAATCCATTTCTGCTAAAGAGCAGGAGAGTTCTGGGCAATCTGGGTCTTTTGTACAAGACTCCCAGAACTCTCTTGGGAAAATGGTCATTGTGGCTTTTGTTTTGGTCAGTAGTGTGACTGTGATCACATCCAAACCTGCAGCAGATCTTTCTGCTTTGCACAAGACAGCATGGGATTTTGGCATTCTGCCTTACTTGGCTCTTGCCTGGGCTTAAATGGAAAAATAACATTTTAAGAACAAACAAAGTGTTGTTCCTTTGTTTGCTTGCATTTTCCCAGAATAAATAGTCTTCCATGAAGTGTACCTGGAAAATTCCAGGAAGACATCCCTTTTGTAACCCATCACACACAGTATTTTACCCATCACACACTATAGACCCAGTGTTTTCCTTCTGGAGCAACTGAGGAGGTTTTATTTTCACTTTGCTTCTCCCTTGCCTTCCCCCACATTCCCAGTTTTCCTCTTCTATTATTAACTTAAACAATGCCTTATTGGAAAGTGTACTCTTTCAAAAGTTGCTTTGTTAAAAAGCAAAACAAAAAACCACATAAACAACAGCAAATAACAAACTCCCCCCAAATTTCCCACAGAAACAACTTTGACTTTGAAACTGGAAAGCACTGGCACATGGTGCTGCTGTGCCCAGATGTTACATCCTGGGTAAACCACAGTTACCCTCCGGTTGCTCTGCTGACTTATTTTTCCACTTGATGCTCTTCCATTGAGCCCCAAGGTTTCCAGGTTCAGATACAAACATCCACAAAGATGAGCTAATTGTCAAAGAGAGACAGGAGTGTATATCAAAATCAAATTTCCTCTGCTTTCTCACTTCATATCTTTCCGTCCAAAAGGTGCCAGATTGGGCCAGGAC